GAGAAACCCTAAAATTTTATAAAATCCATTATCCCTCTTCAAGATTAGTTTGGGCAAATCAATTAGACTTTAATTACGGTCTAATAATGTGTTAAGAAAGTTTAGTAATGTGATTTTATTGCTATAAAAATAGGAAATAGAAATTTGATGGGATTAGAAAGAAAATTTTCTATTTCTTATGAACCTTGGTATTTGCAGTGATGGATTAAGGTAATATTCTATATTAAGGGATTAAATATTGCTATGATTATTATATATCATTGGAAAGTTTGCAGAATTTATTTTTCAATGAAATAAACAAGAGTGAATTTTGAATTTTCTATAAAGAGGAGTTTAATTTTTATTTAAGGATGTACAAGCTTCCTGGTAGCAGCAACAGGGAAGAATTACAAAATTCGTCTTAATTTTTATATAAGGAATTATGTATTGAGTCCTACATGTTTGAAAGTTTTACTAACTCTACTTTCCAACAAAACAAATAGAACTAAATTCTGAGTCTCCTATGAAATAAATATGCAATTTTTATTAGAAGGTATATAGGCTATATGGCTGCAGCATATAATGTGGATTGTAAAAATTATTATAATTAATCCACAAGGAATCACTAGATGGACTATATATGGTTAGAAAGCTTATCGAATCTAGTTTCTAATGCATTAAAAAGATTTTAATTCCATGTTGGATATCTTGAGATATGGTCATTTTAGTGAAAGTAGTGCAGACTATCAAATTTAGTTGAGTTAATTCTTGTTAAACTTAATTGTTTTGGGATAAGTGGTCTCAAATGGGTTGACTAATTACTGTTATATTGAAATTATCTTGAATAGGCTATTAATAATTTGGAGGGAAAAACTAAGTGGTGGAATAAGAATGAGGAAAGTAGAAGCTCACACCCTTTATGGGGTGTGTGGGCTTGCCTAGTGTCCAATTTTACTCCAGTTTCTTCTGGCATATTTGGAATTTTATTTATGATTTTTCTATTATTTTTATCAAATTTTTTGATTGTATGAAATATTTATTATTTTATATTTATGCGTAATTTAGTAATTAGTATATTTTATGCACATATTTTTTGACATTTTATTTCATAATAAAATATTTTGATATGTTGGGAGTTTATTTGAGGTATGTAATCTCACTATATGTTGCTTAAAATTTACCTACTCTTGACATAAAGTTAGGTGCATAACTAAATGAATTTAGCAAAATTTTTTTTTATTTTTTAGACTATCATCTAAATGTAATATGCTTTATTTTCAAAAGGCAAATAAGATTTAAACTCCATAATGATGTGGTACAATCAATATCAAATTAATAATTTTATTTGGTAATTTCATTTAATGAATAAATAATTTTTGAATAATTATTCATTTAGAATAGTTGGAGTTTATAATATTGCCTACACTAATTTATGTGTCCTATGACTATATTGGGTATGTATCATCATTTTTATTTGTGAAATTTATATTGTGATAGATAGTACATAAGAATAAATTATTGGATATTGAATATTTATTTATAAAACATTTAAGACACTCGATTTGAATGTAATAAATTAATTTTGATCTAGTGAGATACATTCGATTTAAGTATCTCACAGGGAGTGATAATATTTATAATGATCCAACTAGAAACACATTAATTATTGATGTCTCACACAAGAATGACCAATTCTTTAAGTATTTAATGACCCAAAAAGATATATATCATAGTTAAGTATTCAATGCGTGGTCAAAATGCATATACTTAGTTAAGTACACAAATTAAAATTATGGGTAATCCAAATTTCCTAATACGAGAATATACAACTGGTTAATATAGGTGTTTGGTTGCCAAAATGGCTCACTTATTAAAACTTGAAAGATTTTCTCATGTGCAGGAATGGGGTATTGTCAAATTACCTTATACAATTGTTTGTCCAAAAGGAGTTATTGTGTTTAGTAATTTGAAGTGGACATGAAAAATCATGGTTGAGGGTATTTAGTCTAAAAGGTCTGTCAGCCCAAAGGGGATAGATTTTTCAAAAAAAAAAGAAAGAATATTTTCATATTGGCTTCATATGAAAAATATCTAATAACATGTCACATTCTTTACTCAAAGGAGAGTTTGTGATGATACACTTAGACTTTTTAGTTTAATTACAAATAACACATCATGAGCTACTACTATTTGTATGGATTGTTGCTCATATATAAAAAGTTGCATTCTTTTGTCTTGAGATTAAAGTTGATTTGGTGATAAAAATTAAGTAGCTCTAATTAAAAGTGATAAAAAGTAATTTAGAGTCTAATTAAGTTATGGGTGTTTTCTTGGACATAATCGTTAGGTATTGAACATTTTGTTGATGATTGTCCAATTGTTAAAATATTACATTTTGTGATGATAAAAATCTTTTACTTAAGAGAATTTGTGAATATTTTAAATATTGTTTAGTCATATGAATCCATGAAGATAATTGTCATAAACATGATCAGTAAATTTGTTATATTGCTTTGTTCCTATATATCATTATTTGATAAAGTGGTTTTATATAGGATCATGCTTATGCAAAATGTGACATGTGAAATTAAGTTTAATTATTTTGAGAGCATATGTTATGTGTGATAAATATGTTTAGCATGCTTATGGCGTTTTAGTTTTACATAATCACATAATTATGATTTAGAAATTTAGGCATTAAGTTTAAAGCCTAATAAAATGCATAATGTGATATATATTTTGGAAATTTATGTTTTTCATGGACATATGAAACATATATGTTGGCAATAATGATTTATGAAAAGCATATAGATTTTATGCTAGTTTGTTGAAATGGTGCGAGCCATGTTTATCATCATGTTCGTGTTGCTAATTTTCATTCTACACTTTGCTGACATGGTGGATCCATTCTTTGGTAACATAGGCACTGAAAGATGTTATGAAGCACTTGAAAAGCTAGAGAAGAAGTATGACATTGTTGTGAATATTCAGGGGGATGAACCTCTTATTGAACCTGAGAACACAGATGGAATTGTTAAAGCTCTGCAGGTTTGTTATTCTGAGTTTCGTAAAGTATGTTAGTCAATATTGGTTCTATTGCGTCAAAGTTAAGGTTGATATCTGCATTTTTTTTTTTTGCTGTGATATATCTTGTTCCTTGTACAAGTTCTCGTAGTTTTATGCGGTATCAAAGTGGCCTATTTGTGTTGCAGGCAGCGCCAGATGCAGTGTTTAGCACTGCTGTCACCTCTTGAAACCTGAAAATGCTTTTGATCCAAATAGGGTGAAATGTGTGGTAGATAATCGTGGCTATGCTATTTAATTCTCTAGAGGACTGATTCCATTTAACAAGTAAGATTATGCATCTCTATGTGTTTGTGCGTGAGTATTTTAAGTGTTACATCTTTCGTTTTAATTGCATTTGCATTTTGCGCTAATGTATTTGTCAACTGAATTGATATAGATCAGCGAAAGGAAATCCACAGTATCTATACTCGCTTCATCTTGGAATTCAGGTATCGGGATGGTATTTCGCTATTGTTTAAAATTAAAAATAAATCTATTTTTCCTTTGTTTCTTCAATTAATTGATGCTACTGAATTTTATGTCTGAACAGAGCTATGATTCAGAGTTTCTAAAAATTTATCCAAAGCTTCAGCCTACTCCACTGCAACTTGAAGAAGATCTAGAACAGCTAAAAGTCCTTGAGAATGGCTATAAGATGAAGCTATGGTAAAAATCATATACCATTGTTTAATCCTTCTGCCGGTCAGACAAAATTATACTAAACCTTGTCTACCACTTTGCATGAATGTAATCATTGTGTTCTTTATCACATTTAGACCATTGTTTTCACTTTATGACACTTGAGAGATGATAACGTGTCATGTGCTGTTAAAACTTTGAAATTCACTTGTCTTAATCTCGTAGTTTCATATTACTTACCAAATATAACCTGGTGTCACATGCAAACATTCACATGGCGAAAGGCCATAGGCTAAATCTCTCATTATGTCACTAATATTCATGATGGAGCTGCCCTCACATAGCAGAAGATTGCTCCATCAAATATGAGTGTGAGGTGAGTTGATCTTCTAAAGATATTAGAAGTCAGAACACCCTTCCTGAAATTTGCAGCAAAATCAGCTAATTTTTTACCTCATGCAAAAGTAAATTATCTTTAATTATCCAGATTGAAGAAAATTGATTCATGTAGCCGGTGGAAGCAATTTGCGTTTAAGCTGTAATTGAAGTGATTTGAACTAATATTGGATAGTATATCGTGTGTCTTTCTGGGTATTAAATACCAAAATTTTGTATTAAAACATAAATAGATAAGCTGGTAATAAATTTGGATGATCATGTTAATTCACACCTATTTTTCCGCAGGTCATAAAGGTTGATCACGAGGCTCATGGAGTTGACACACTTGAAGATGTGGAGAAGATCGAATCTCTAATGCGTGAGAGAAACTTGTCTTAGTTCAAAGAGAACTCAAATCAGACATTTGTAATTGAATCTCTTATGGAATAGGTTATATCATTATATGTTTTTTTCACTTACATTATTTAGGAAAGAAAGGAAGGAATGACCACCATAAAATTCCTTGTAGCACTATTTGTTGGTGAAGATATGATAGACCTGTCACCCAATCTTACATGTCTTCTAGCACTGTTTTATTCTTTTATTAAAGCACCTATCCAAATACTAAGTCAAAGCAGCAACATGCAGTCAAAGCTGAAAAACTAAAACTTGTATAAAAGAAAAAGTTGTATCCAGGGGCGGTCAACTTTCTACTGAGGCAAAGTAACAGTTTTTAGAATTTATACAACACATAAAGCGAGAAACCCAATTAGATTCATAGGCAATTATTGCCAGTCAAAGCAACAGCAAAGAAATCAAAGAAGCAGGGTTAATGAAAATCAGAAAATGTGCTCAAAGTAATGGAAATTCAAACATCAAAAAGTACAAAACCAAGTAGAAGTATGAGCAACCATGATCTACAAAACGTACCATTGTAATCAGGCGCCTTTCTCATCCTTTTCCTCTTCAAGCAGCTTGCATATCTCCTCCTTGGCCTTCAAAATGGCACCAATTCCATGTTGGGATCTATAGAACATCGAACCTTCTTGATGTTCTTTAGCAGCTAACACCAACTGAATATCCCGAGTTCTACACAGTTGAAGAACTCGCTCAAGCACCAACTGTTTACTAATAATAACAAAGTTCCCGCGAATATCAAGCTCCTCTCCCTGCTTCTTGTACTCCATTTTTCTGGCCCCTGTGGTTATATCTTGTAACTCAAATGCTACTAGATCTAACTCATTCCATAAGAATACAACACCTAAGAAATTCAACTCCAATAGTTTCATAATTGATTCGATGTGTAACACACACCTAGCATCCTTATTTCTTACGAGTTCAAGATATTCTTTTAGCATTCTCTTTTGAATAACTATAACATCATTCCCTAAGATATCAGCTGACTGATTGAGAGCTTCATCAAAGGAAAATCGGCCTCCATAAACTATACTGCATTCTTTCAAAACTTTCTTAAAAATTCTGGATGCAAAAATTTTCAGTAGCGTTCTCCTGTCAGGCAACATTTTCAAACACTCCATTAAGGCAGAGTCAATATCGAAAGGCGAACCAAAAATCAGCCAAGTACATCCCATAAGAGCCTCGATAAGCCAAAAATTTTCCAAGAAAGTTTGAGCTAAATACTCAACCTGCCTATGACCTCCCTGCATTAATATTCTTTCTCTAAGATGAACATCAGGAAGAGAGCTCACAAAATTACCAGAAACTGTAGTTAAACCCATTCGGTTCCATCCTACCAGAAAAAACCCATATCTATCTTCAGAATCTAAAAGATCTTGAAGAAACTTAGTCTTGAACTCTCTTTGAACACTAGAATCTAATCTCAAACCCCTTTTAAAAGGGACATAGGAAAAGGAAATTGGCATCTCTAAACTTTCCGTTGTCATTCTTCCAATTCCAGCATAAAGAAGGAGCCCATTTGGATGAAGTGGCCCCTCAATTTTTTTTAACAATTCCAGCGTATGAGAAAAAGAATTTCTACTTCTTTCTTCCGTTATGAAAGCCAACCTGTTCTCCAAACTACTGGTCACATGTTCTTTATCTTCACAAGGAATGGACAATGATATCAAAGAGGTAGAAGAACAGTAGTGCTGCAATTTTTTTATAAGAAGTTTGAGCTCAAGAAGATGCATCCTATATGAAGAAAGAAAGAAAAGACATATATCAAGAAAGAAAGAAAGAAAAAACATAAATATAAAGAAAGAAAGAAAAGACAAGATTATGAACTACTAAAATAAAACGAAAGAGAATAACTCAGAAAGAAGATAAAGATTACCTGAAATCTTTAGGTAGCAGGAAGACGTCACAGAATAACTACACTGCAGAAGGAAGGAAAAAGAACAGAAGAGACAGAAATAGACCAGAGAAACGTGAATAGAGAGAATAGCGCAGAAGAAGAGAGAATGGCGAAAATAGAAGCAGAAAGTTTTAATGTCATTCACGATGATCGTTTACAATATATATGCCTTCCTTTCAATTAAAGCCAACACGTGATATATATATATATATATATGCTTATAGCAATGAGAAGCCAGTGGTGAACCATGTTGCTGCAATGGCTCCTTTGCTTTGCATTTCACTTGTTACTGATAGCATCCAAGTTGTTCTTTCTGGTTAGTAATTTCTCATCACTCTTTCATTCTTAACCTAATGATAATTTTAAAAAAAAGGTGGCAAAGAAGAGATTCTAATTCTGCTTTCTAACGAAAAAGATCATGCAACAATCATCAAGTCAAATGTTCAAGTGCCGAGATTGTAATAATTGAGCCAAATGTTCGAGTGCCAAGATAGTTTTTAGTTGATAGATAATGTATTTGATTTTTCTTTAATATTTTCCACCAGGAGTTGCTGAAGGATGTGGATGGCAATATATAGGAGCCTATGTAAATCTTGGTGAATTTTATCTTATTGGATTGCCAGTAGAAATTATACTTGGATTTGTGTCACATCTAAATGGAAGAGGCCTTTGGATTGGAATTGTAGCCGGTTCAATTGTGCAAACTGTCCTTCTTTCTCTATTTGCAATATTCATAAATTGGGAAAAACAGGTTGGTTCTCCAAAATTATGTATTTTGAAAATTATAATTCTCTATTATTTTCTGTCTATGTCTCTTAAAATCATTTTGTTTCCTTGCTTATGTGATAAATTTTCATACATGTGGATATGGTTGTAGGTAGCCAAGGCCAAAGAGAGGATATCTATGGGGAATTAATCATCTTTTGCATTTTCCAAAAGAAAAAGCAAAACATTTTATAAGTCCAAGAGCAGATAATTTTTTTATTATACTTCAGACTGAAATTTGTTTGTAAAACATTTAACTTTTTGAACTTGATTATTGTACTACATTTTCTTCAACAGGAAAATCACTAGTAAACTAGAGATCCAATCAAAAATAAAAAATTAATAGATACCAAAGATTAAAGTAAATTAAAGAAAAACTTTTGAATAGAGGATTATTGTTTCTGGTTATCATTATATCTATTTTCTGTAAATAATGTATATAAAATAATGTTCTAATTCAATCAATCATTTCTTTGTAATTTTATATTCCATTCTTCAATTGCAAGATTTGTAATTTACAAATTGCAAGTTAAATTACAAATCTTGCAAGTTACTAAGTTTATTGAAAATTGAAAAACAATGTTCATAGAAAAACTTGTGTTATATTATTGTTCTATAAATTTTTTGTTCAGAGATGATTATTTCTGACAATGTCAAAAACTTGAATAGAAAAATAATGAATAAAGTGTGTGCTCAGTTTAATATCCATCATCATAATGTGACACTATATCATTCAAAGATGAATGAAACAGTAGAAGTTGTAAACAAGAATATAAAAAGGATCTTGGAAAAGATGACTAATACTTACAAAGATTAGCATGAGAAGTTAGCTTTTGCCTTGCATGTTTATAGTACATTAGTTTGAATATTTACTAGGGCCATCCCACTTCATTGGTTCATGGAATGGAAGTTGTACTACCTGTCGAAGTGGAAATTTCCTTATTGAAAGTTTTATGGAAACTAAGCTAGAAGAAGCAAAACAGGTTTGGATTCACTACAAGTAATTGAACCTCGTTGAAGAAAAAAGGCTTACAACACTTTACCACGATCAATTGTGTCAGAAGAGGGTGATGAGAGCATATGATAAGAAAATCCACCCTCATCACTTTTGAGAATAAGACTTAGTGCTAAAAAAGATTATTCCAAATCAATATGACAATTGAGAAAAATTGATACCAAATTGGAAAGGTCCATATATGGTAAATAAAGCCTTTTTCGGTAAGCCATTGATTTTGGCATAAATTGAAAAAGAGGCTTGGATTCAAAGAAAAGGCATCATCATTAGATGATCTCATAACATAGGGGCAAATGTGATTTGACAAGCTTTGAAGGATATAAGATGTCATCCGATTGAGTTTTGGAGAAAAAACCTAGGAATAACTTATTCATGATTATCTTATAATCATTATTTGGGTGTTTTTGTTCCTACCCAAACACTTTTGTTGTTGTGCACTTATTATCTATTTGATAGAATGTGTTTACTTTTCATTGAAAGTAATGGCTATCCATTCCTTTATCCCATTCATTATCTTTGTTCACCTTACAAATGAATAAGAGAAACGTGTGACTGCATTTCGTTTGTCTTGAACTTAAAATGATGAAAAAAAACTAATAACAAAATATCCCAGCATTACTTTTTAAAAGTTGATAAAGGAAAGAAGAAAATGACAACAAGAGCATGACAAGACATTGATATTGTAGACTTCTAGAAAAGAAAAAAAAATATTATTGAGAAAAAAAGCAATGATCAAACATTAAGAACTTGTTGGTCCTATGACAATTGTTGAAAATTTTGATGACCAAAGTACAAAAAGGCAAGAGATTTTAATAATTTTTTACCACAATTGAAAGTGAATAATTTTGATTGTATTACATGGATTGTATTTAGAGCACTTGGTACATACATCAATGAACATTTACGATCATAAGTTATAACGAGGATAAGGATTTTTCATTCCCTAATAAAAAAAAAGATTTTGTCCTTTGTGTAAGGATAATGACCAAAGAAGAGACTTCAATCCTCAAAAGAGAGAAATATGTTTTTTTAATGATAAGATCTCAATTTCAAGAAAATATGAGAATTTTAAAGTTGTTGAGCCTCTATTTAGAGAAACCTTTCAAATTTTTTAAAAAAGCTATCGAGTCTCTATTTAGAGAAACCTTTTAAAATTCTCAAAAGTTGTCAAGTCTGTACTTAGAGGAGCTTTTTAAATTTTCAAAAGTTGTTGAGCCTCTATTTAATAAAGTCTTTTAAATTCTCAAAAGTTATCGAGCTTCTACTTAAAAGAGCCTCCAAAATTTTTCAAAAAGTTATCGATACTCTGTTTAGAGGAGCCTTTTAAAATTTTCAAAAGTTGTTGAGCCTTTGCTTAAATGAGTCTTTAAAATTTTTCAAAAAGTTGTCAAGTTTCTATTTAGAAAAGCCTTTCAAATTTTTCAATAAGTTGTTGAGCATTTATTTAGAGGAACCTTTTAAATTTTCAAAAAGTTGTCATACTTCTATTTAGAGAATCCTTTTAAATTTTAAAAAGTTATCGAGCATATGTTTAAAGAAGCCTTTTAAATTTTCAAAAAGTGATCAAGGCTCTGTTTAAAGAAGCCTTTCAAATTTTTAGAAAGTTATTTAGCCTCTAATTAGAGGAGCTTTTAGATTTGCTTTAAAAAAAAACAACAACAACAATGAAAAAACAAAAAAAATCTTTTGACTCTGGACAAAATTGTTATCTTTATCTTTACCCTATTCTTGATTCTCAACAACTTACAAAGAGGGATAGTTATAAACACCTAATTTTATCTAAGTTTTTTAAATTGGACCTCAATTTTAAATTCAATGGGCTTTGTCGAGTTTGATTATGTGAGTCAAAATCCAATTTAGAATTGTGTCAGTTGAAGCCTAATTTTGGTCAAATGGGATGTTGACATTCGTGAGCTCGAATTTTGTGGGCCTAAGGCCCAATTTCAATTTATTTAGCCTAGGGCCTAAAACAAAACCTATTTGAGGGCCCATTTTTGTTTATTTAGCTTTAGTTTAATTTTTATTTGTTAAATAGTATTAAAATAAAAATAATTTAAAAAAAAAAGATAATAGGGGTATGGTGGCAATGGGTGGCGTGCACATCATTGGCAACTCATTTGCCTGAGCCACCTAAATTGTTCCTGCATCACCTAACTTGAACTACCAAGTGCAACTGCCCACTGCCACCACTACCATTGTAGTGTGGATTATGGCAGGGAAATGTGGGGATGTCCCCCAAGGAAGCTTTATAAATTAAAACTTTAAGCACACAAATAAGATGCGGTTGGAGGAAAAAGGGGAAACTTTACCAAAAAGCACAAAAAAAAGCAAAAAAAAAAAAAAACCTCCCTAGCCTATAGGAAAACAAACACAAAACACAAAAAAACACAACCCCTTGAACAGGGAACCAACACCTAAAGAAACAAACTCAAAAAAAAAAAAAAAGCAAAGATTTTAGGTTTTTTACGATTGAGCTCAGAGGATTTACTTATATCTAGGATTTTTTGTGTTAGTTTTTGTTTAAAAAGATGCCAAAATGAGGACAAAGAGACCGAGATGAGTTTTTTTTTTAGGCTTTTTGGCAATTTTTTACCGTCAAAAGCAGCAAGTGCAACAATCGATGATTGTTTCTAGGATTCACTAACCGACCTTTGGGTTTTTTAAGAGAAAAAAAGGCTTTTTTTTTGTGATGGGGAGAAGGAAATGAAATAAAAAAAAAAGAGCTATCCTTTATATATATATATATATATATATATATATAAATGAAGTTGTTTTGGACCCAAGAGGATCCTCATGTTAGCCTAACCCAACCCATTGACCCGTGTACTTGATCCGTGACCACTTCTCATTTTAGCCTTAAGATCGATACAATCGATACAATCGAATCGATACCAAACCAGCCAAACCAATTAGACCACTAATGAACCATCTATTTCCCTTTCAAATTGAAGCTACTTCATCCCAACCAAACCATACCCTAGCAAATCACTCCCAAACCGGTTTGTTTATTTAATTTTTATGTTTTTCAATTTTTTATAGCTTTATTTTTTTTTGTT